CTCGCCTGTTGCCATGATCAAATCTGTTAGGATCATGATAGCGATAGCCGCATATTATGATTATGAAGTTTGGCAAATGGATGTCAAAACCGCCTTCTTGAATGGTTTCTTGAAGGAGGAAGTGTATATGACACAACCTGATGGTTTTGAGTCCAAAGGCCAAGAGCATATGGTATGCAAACTTCAGAAGTCAATATATGGGCTTAAGCAAGCTTCCAAGAGCTGGAATCTTCGTTTTGATGAAGTTGTTAAGGGTAACGACTTTATCAAGAATGAAGATGAACCATGTGTCTACAAGAAGGTTAGTGGGAGTGCTGTTGTTTTCCTTGTGCTATATGTAGATGACATATTGCTCATTGGAAATGACATTCCCATGTTACAGTACACAAAGGTTTGGTTGTCAGAGAACTTCACCATGAAGGATATAGGAGAGGCAGCCTACATACTAGGTATTAAGATCTATAGAGATAGATCCAAGAGATTGCTGGGATTATCCCAATCCACGTACATAGACAAGATGCTAAAGAGGTTTAGCATGGACGGGTCGAAAATGGGGTTTCTTCCTGTCGGTCATGGCATTCATCTCTCTAAGGCTATATGTCCTAAGACACCTGCCGAAAGGGAACGCATGGAGAGGATTCCATATGCATCAGCAATTGGATCCATCATGTATGCCATGCTATGTACAAGACCAGTCGTCTCTTATGCTTTAAGCATTACGAGCCGATACCAGTCTGACCCTGGAGAGAGTCACTGGACGGCCGTGAAGACAATCCTTAAGTACTTGAGAAGGACTAAGGATTTGTTTCTGGTATATGGTGGCAGTAATGAGCTGAAAGTGAAGGGGTTCACTGATGCTAGCTTCCAGAGTGATAAAGACGACTGTAAATCTCAGTCAGGCTTCATCTACACCTTAAATGGTGGAGAAGTTTCTTGGAAGAGTTCCAAGCAAGAGACCACAACAGACTCTACTACAGAGGCAGAATACATAGCGGCTTCAGAAGCGACTAAGGAGGCAGTCTGGATCAAGAAGTTCGTTGTAGAACTTGAAGTAGTTCCGAGCATTGTTGATCCAATATCTTGCTATTGTGACAACACTGGTGCAATAGCCCAGGGCAAGGAACCCAGGTCTCATCAGAGATCCAAGCATGTGCTCCGCTAGTATCACCTCATCCGGGAGATTATTGAAAGACTGGAAATAAAGATGGACTACGTCCCCACTAATGATAATTTGGCCGATTCTCTGACGAAGGGTTCTCTCAGAGAAAACATGATAGTCATTATGAGTCTTTAGGTTTGACACGTCGACCTGATTGGCTCTAGGCCAAGTAGGAGATTGTTAGTATATAGGTGTCCAAGAGACAATCTGTTTTATCAGATGAACACCTTTTTCGAAATGGTATTTCATGATTTATAAATTTGAGCAAACTTTATCTTTATCATATTTATGTCTCGCCAATATTTTATTGTTAATATGTGAATAAAGATAAAGACCCTACGAATAGAACAGGTGTTCACTCGGGGATCTATGATAGGGATCATGATCATGAGGACTCGAGGACACTGTATGTCTATTATCTAAAATATGTTCCTGGTCTTGAATCACCAAGAAAGGGTATTGGTGATCTCAATAAGACTAGTATGACGTCATTTACTTGTATAAAGATACGAGGTAGGAACCTCATGGAATGCAGGCATGGTGATGCTTTAGGTGATGTCGTGGGTGGATCTGTTAGAGAACAGATAACACTGAACTGACCCACCAAGAGACTCCACAAGGATTCATTATAGAGAGTATCATTGGATTTGTAAAGTCTCTCATCGTTTGGTAGTGCAGATCGTCCTAGACTTAAGGATGTCATCGAATACTATGTCCTAGAGTTATACTTTGACTGTACAACTTTATCCGCCTGAAAAATGGGGAGAACAGTGTACTCTTGGGTATGACTCGAATACATGAGTATAGATGAACATGCCGAAAGGACTTCACAATCCCCTATAAGGGATTAGTCGTTCACAAGACCGGTAGGGCTTGGATGACTTCTAGTTGACTCGGGAATCTATGCATAGTAAGAGATCATGAAGAGTCATGATCTATCTTAGAGTCAATGGAAGAAGATTCCTAGTTCCTGTGAAATATTATATTTAGTCAATAAAGAGAGATGATACTCTATCCTTGCTCTCGACTAAATGTGAATGACATTGTGAGGGAAGATGCCGGCACAGTATCCAAATTAGAAAGGTAGATCACTTGATCAACTCAATTAGTTCTGGGGATGTAGAGCATTGCTAGTGTCTTATGTGGTCATTAGATAAATTGGGCCTGTTAAAAGAGTTTAATTGGTTCAAGTTTATTTATGTCAGTGACTAATTGAGCCTAATGGGTCACACACTAAGGTTATTCTTGATTGCTTACATTTAGCAAGTTTGGACCAATAAGTGTTATTGGGTTTTTCAAGACTATAGGTGTAATTGGGTTGGAGTTGAACTCCAAGTCCAATATCATCATGCGTCTTTGGACTATTAGTGAAAGATTAATTTTTCTATTAATAAGCCCAAATGTGTTAGTAGGCCCAATACGGTATTGGGCCATGAATCCTAGTAAGTGAAATAGTTGACTTGGCCAATATAAGTTTTTGGCGCAATTCGAAATTTGAATTTGAATTTTGAATTTAGAATTTGAATTCAAACTTAAATTGCGGGCTAGGATAAAATCGAATTTAATTTTATTTAAATTCAAGAGGTTAGGTAATTAAGGATAGTTTTGAATTATCCTTATCTGTATCTAATATGATTAGATAGAGATTTATTATTTATATTTTATTTGAATTATGAATTTAAATAAAATTAAATTTAATGTAACGTCTGTCTCTTAATGCTGATTAAGGGATTTGATGAGGAAACGTTAATGTAACGTCCATCTCTTAATGCTGATTAAGGGATATGATGAGGAAACGTTAATGTAACATCCATCTCTTAATGCTGATTAAGGGATTTGCCGAACCACGTTAAAGTAACGTCTTTTACTCTTCAGATCAAGATGTACAACGCCTCTCTGGACTAAAATCCTAATTTTGGCCGCCCCTATTTGTCTTCATCTTTCTTCCTCCATTATTGGTCCTCTCACCTAACCTCAAGACAACATTACAGTCTTGAGAAAAATAAACAAAAACACTTGAAAGCCTCCACCTTGCCGCAGCCTAGCGAGCTTCCAAGGAAATGGAGGGTTCAGGGAGAAAGCGTTTCTCAGAAGCAACCAACAGGTAGCCGTGTGGATTACTGTTAGAGGGAGTCATCCACTTTGACACCTTCAAGTGAAAAGGTATGAATTTTAAACCCTACATGTTTAACGGGCAGATCCTAAAACATGAGGCGCATAGATTGTCTATGCTTCCGCATCAAAGACCATTTTTTTTTTTTTTTACCCTCATGTAGGCGCATCAAGGTGGGACCTTTGTGCAGCCAATTTTGACTTTCACGTGGTTTCAGAGCCTGGCTCGTTACTGTAAGACGCATGGGGTTTATACTTCATTGAATTTTCAAAATTGGTTTTGAAACCTACATTGATTCAAGTTTTGATTCTTAAAATGATGTTTTTTGAAAGCATAGTCTCTTGTCATGCATAAAGGTTCGACCTTTAAGGGAAAAGGTATCACCTTGTGGGGACAAGGGTAGCGGCCATGATTGAGAAGGCCATAGGGTGGCAGCCAAACCCTAGTATGACTAAGGAAGGCTGAAAACTTTGATAGTCAAAGGCCAACAAGCCCTAGCCGATGCTTTCACATAACAAGGCAGCCCCTATGCATGTTAAAGATTGAATCTTGATCATATTTATGAATTAATCATCAAGTGTTGATGTGTTTTGATGTACATGATTCAATTATTAGGGTTCCCAAAATTGTTTGTTTGGATCTAACTTTTCTTGTAGGTACTTTTAACATTGGATGGTCATGGTGCTTTGAATGTATGATTTAAATTTTATTTTAAATTCTTTTGGTTAAATGGGATTGTATTTGTCCCGATTTAATTTTTGCTTAAATGGGATTGTATTTGTCCCGATTTAAATTTTGCGTCTTTTAATTTTTGGATGTGAATCTTAATCGAAAAAGTGCCAAAGCTTGTTGGACCATGGAGAGACCAAAGGAGGTGGTTCGGCCATGTTGATGTACCCGAACGACATTGATGAAGATTTTGATCCGAGGCTTGAAGATGCTTTGGATGGAAAAATCGGAAGGCACGATGATCATCCACCATGTGTTTGATTTTCAAAATTTAAATGTTTTATTTTGAATTTCAAATATCGTATTGCAACTAGTATGCATGTTAATATTAGACGCGATAACCCTACGACTAGTATGCATGATTAGAAAAGCCGCTAAAATTGAACTATGTGATAGTTAGTTTTGTATATCTAATTATGCGTGCAATATAAAACGAACAATTAACGATGAGACCGAAAATAAACCCTCACGTAATATTATCTAGCGCATTAGATTGCCTCCCATCATCGGTGGCACTCATAGCCCTTCTACATGGTAGTGCTCTCTAGCTCAGGTAAGACCTGTCATTTCGTTGGGAACGATGCCATTCGAAGTGTACGACACTTAGGGTGATGGTTTGTGCTAGACTAAATGTGTAGTCTGCAGGCTCAGCCGGGTCTATGCATTTAGGGCAATGATGCCAGGTTGTTACATAGTGATGTGACACTAAGTGACAAAGAGTTGTCAACCTGATGATCTAAGAGAAGACATAGTGATGTTGTTGATTAGATCAACCCACTAGACAAGTTACTTTTGCAGGCTCAGCCGGAAACTAATGAATTTAGCCGTTCTCTTAGCCCGCTACGGATGTCTTTGTGATGGATAACCCTAAATCAATCACCGAGGGTCATTGATTTGAGAAAAATAGTGGGAGAACCATATACGTTTAAAAGTCTCCGTATTTGGCTATTAATCATGAAATACTTATGTATGTTTATCTTTATTTTCAGCAATTGAGTTATGGCCAGAAATTTTAGTTTACGCTCTATTCTAGATGCTAATAAGTTAACTGGTCTAAACTTCACGGATTGGTATAGGAATGTAAAAATTATTTTACGTTCTGAAAAGATAGCGTACGTCTTGGATTCTCCTGTTCCTGTTGCCCCTGCTGAAGGGCAAGATGGGCATGACCAGTATGACTGGGAAGCTCATAGACAGCATTTGGCGGACAATGAACAGGCAGTATGTATATTGCTTGCGTCTATGTCTGCGGAGCTTCAGCGTTAGCATGAGCATATGAATGCTCCCTCCATTATCTTGCATTTGCAGGAGCTTTATGATAAGCAAGGGAGGGCTGAGCGTTTTGAAACCTCCAAGGAGCTGTTTGGCTGCAAAATGATTGAGGGCACTGCGGTTGGACCGCACGTCCTCAAGATGATTGGGCTGATAGAGAAACTTGCTTCTCTGGGTTTTATCATGGACCATGAGCTAAGTATTGACTTAGTCCTGCAGTCCTTGCCGTCTTCATTTAATGGTTTTGTGGTCAACTACCATATGAATAAGGTGGAGACAACACTCCCAGAGTTGTTGAATCTCCTCACCTCTGCTGAGGGTGCTGTTAAGAAGAACAAAACCCAAGCTCTTCTGATTGGCGGTTCTAAAAAGGATAAGGGTAAGGGCAAGTCTGTAGAGACAGACAAGCTCAAGCCCAAGAGCAAGCCCAAAAAGATGAAGGGCAAAGACAAGGGTAAAGGAAAAGGGAAGTCGTAGGATAACGGTTCGTATGCATGCTAGGAATAGATGTGTATTGAATTGCAGATGTTTGAATTATCGTGTTCATTGCTTAATTCTTATGAGTGGTTGCTAAGGGATTAGGATTCCAATTGAGATTAAAGGGTTAAATTGCCAAGGGATTCGAATTTAACTAATTAATTTTAGATGATAATTATCTGAGTATTTATATAATTGAATATTTTAAATCAATCCAAAGTAATAAGTGGGGATCATAAGGTGAGTGCGCTCTAGCTACAATGCTTTTCTCACATTTATAAAAATCAATTTTCAATTTATTGTTCTATTTCTCATAAACAAAATTACAAAAACAAGTCTTTATTATTAGTTCTCACTTTTACACAAATCGACAATATTTGTCAAAAACCATTTGAACCCTTCCATTCTTAAAAGGAATATTAATTGATATTCGACTCAATCCCTGTGGAGACGATACTCTACTTACTTTCTATATTACTTGTGCGATCGGTATACTTGCCGGAGAGCATCAAGTTTTTGGCGCCGTAGCCGGGGATTGGCGTTTCTTATATCAATTAATTTTAATTTTTAAGATTGGATTTTATTTTTATTTATTTTTATTGTTTTGATATTTGAACAGTGCTACTAATCTCTTTTCTGAGTTGTATGCGAGGTAAAGAGCCAGAATTTCCACTTGATTTGGAGATTACCAAGACTGAAAAGAGATACAGAAAACTTGCTCGGAAGAAGCTTGCATTCGACGAGTTAGAAATTATGTTTGAAGAACCACACACCATGGCAGGGAACAATGAAGAGGACAATCCGCTCATGGATACTATCCTAACTCCATTATTCAACAGGCCCAATGTGAGCATTGTTCAGCCAAATGTTGCCAACAATTGAGAGCTCAAGTCCTCTCATATTCAATTGGTGGAGAGAGCTCAGTTTGGAGGAGAGAAGAGTGAAGATCCTCATCGATTCGTTGACAGATTCTTGAGGATCTGTGACTCAACCAAACACCCTCAAGTGTCTAATGAATGTCCTTTGATGCCTTCTGATTTAACTAAGCAAATGCAAGTGAATGGCATTTGGTATGATCATAGACCTCAACAGCAAAATGTTCAAAGAGGTCAGAATTTTACTCCCGGAGGTAATAATTATCAACGAAAGATTCAAGGCACTGGTCTTGATTACAATTCCAACAACTACTTGCAGCCTCCACCAGTCCAAGCTAAGGAACCTTCTGATTTGGAGAGGTTAGTTGGACAAATTGCTCAACACTCCAATGCCTTCATGGAAGAGACTAGGGCCAATACTAAAAACATAAGTGCTTCTATCAGGAATTTGGAGAATCAAATTGGCCAGCTGGCTAAGAAAGTTGCTAATAGAACTCCAGGAACTTTCCCTAGTAACACAGTTACAAATCCCAAGGAGGATTGTATTTTTGTCACAACTAGAAGTGGTAAGGTGATAGCAGCTCCAGAAAAGCTGAGCACAAAGGTGAAAGCTAATGAAAAGCTTAAGGTGGTTGAGGAGCCAGAAAAAGAGGAGGTGATTCCTTCTGATGTTAAGACACCTCTTCGGAAAGGTGAAGAAAAAGAGCCACTTATTATTACTGAAAAGAAGAAATTTGAGCTGAATCCTGATTATGTAAGAGCCATGGCACCCTATCCTGACAGATTCAAGCAGGATGCCCAGAAGCAACAATATGCCAGGTTCCTTGATATATTCAAAAAGCTTCATATTAATCTTCCATTTGCTGAAGCCTTGGCTAATATGCCCAATTATGCCAAGTTTATGAAGGACCTGTTGTCAAGAAAACACAAGCTGCAGGAATGCCAAACGGTGACACTCACTGATGAGTGTAGCGCTATCATTACGAAGAAGTTTCCTCCTAAGCGTCATGATCCAGGGAGCTTCAATATTCCTATTGAAATTGGTAACACCAAAATTGGCAGGGCATTATGTGATCTAGGGGCTATCATTAATTTAATGCCCCTTTCTGTTTGTAATTCTTTGGGGATCACCGAGTTGAAGCCTACTTTGGCATCTCTTCAACTTGCTGATAAGTCTGTAAGGAAGCCTAGTGGAATAATAGAAGATGTTCTTGTGAAGGTGGACAAGTTCATCTTCCCTGCTGATTTTGTGGTGTTGGACATGGAAGGGGGAGCTGAGATGCCTCTTTTGCTTGGTAGACCTTTCTTAGCTACATCTCGTGCACTGATTGATGTTGAAAGTGGGAAGCTCGAGCTAAGAATGAATGATGAAACCGTTACTATTCATGTCTTTGATTCTTTAAAACAGTTTTCTCACAAAGACGATTGTTTTAATCTTGAAGTCATAAAGGAATAAAAAGATGTAGCGGTTGAGGTTCCTGAAAAAGTAGATGATTGCAAAGAAGATGGTACCTCAAAAGTGGAATTGAAAGAGTTTCCTCAAACTCTAAAAGATGATGTCAAAGAGGTGAGGACGCCTCAAAGGAGGCGTAATCCTACAAAGAAGAAGGCAATGAGAAAGGAAGTGGTGAAACTCTTTGATACGAGTTGGAAGAGACACCGGGAGCTGAAGTTTGACAAGAGACACCGAGACGCTATCTCTCGGAAAAATCAATGCTTCAAAGAGTTCCTCACATGGATATATGGTCTGAATCAAATCTGGGAATGGTGGTCTCATACACCAAGGCATCCAGTACCACCGGACCTTCCATTTGCTGAGTCATCCCATGGTGTTGAGGGGGATGACATGGATGATTGATATCTCCTTGCTGACGGAGATTTTGTATATTAGTTTATTTTTCTTTTTCGTATTTTTAGTTGTTTTGTGTTGGTATATCTCTTTCTGATGTTTTAATTTGCGCATTATAGTTTATCCTATATGCCACTGTTTGTTCCATTGTGCAGGTTTTTCTTCCTTCTTGTGGTTTAATTATTACTGAGGACATCAATTCTCTAAAACTGGGAATGGTAGGCTTGCATCTTAGAATTGCTGCAATTCCTCTATCAGGGGAGATATTCTAACTTTTTTAATTTTCTTAGTTATTTTTGTAGTATTTTGTGTGCTCTTTATTTTTATCTAAACAAAAAAAAAATTTGGAAAATATTTTTCAAGCAATTCTCAGGTTTAAATGAGCTTATCTAGTTAATGTGCTTGACTGAATTCTTGGAAGCATGTTGTATGAACTTCTGGCATGATATTGTATGGGCATGAGTAGACTTCATGATTGCTCGTTTGTCTGAATTTTGTGATTGAATGATTAATGATGCCTGATGTTTCTTGTGGAAGTCTAGCTTGACATCATAGCTGGTGAGGTTTTGTGCTTAAACACTTATTTTATTCTGAGAGACCTCACTGTGATAGCATTTTAGAACTTGCTCTGTTTCTCTGTTATGCATGCATTGGTTGATATGATAAAGGCATTTTGTTCTTGTTAGCTATTGGCCAAAATAACCCACCTGTATGAATTTTTCCATTGCTAGCCCCTTTGAGCCTGAACTTTGTTGTTGATAAATGACTTGTGGTCTGATTGATGGCTTATCCTAAATCCAAGTGACTTACCTTGATTGAGATTGAATTATTGATATGTTGGAAGTTAAAACAAAGAAATTGAGGTAAGATCCACAGAGGTCAAGTAATTAGGGGAGGTAAAATTTCATCTGTGCCCTTAAAACAAAGGGAGAAAAAGAAAAAAAAAAGAAAGAAAGAAAAAGAAAAAGGGTGAATGTAAAGAAAAGGTGGCTGAAAGAATTAATTCCCGAAATTCTGTGGGAATGTTAGTGGAGCAAAATCATTGAGTTGAATGTGTTAAAAATGAAATAATATCAGTTTTTCAATCTCATTGTTGTTTGAGCTACTTTCCATATATTCCTACCTATTAACCCGACCAAGTTACAACCTGTGAAGTCCTTTTGATCAATTGATGCATGTGTTTGATTCTTCATTAAGAATTTTTGAGAATATGATCAAGCTTATGGTAATGTTATTGCTGTGATGGATTGAGTGATTGTTACTCCCTCAAACACTTGAGTGCTAAGCGTTATATGTTTTATCTTGGTGAGGGGTGTTTAAGCTAGATTTTGAATTTTTTATGAGAATAGAAGGCATTGTTAGGAGTTCTTTGCATTGATTCAGTCATGCTTAGCATAGTGATCTATTGATTGTCTGTTTGATGTTATGTTGGAATGATTGATTGTTTCCTGGATTGAGTCTTGTACATTGCTGGGGACAGCAACGTTTAAATCTGGGAATGGTTTGATGTGCCTCTGGCAAGTGTAGTTTTCAGTGTTAAAATTGATAAGAATTGAGTCATAAAAGAGCAACTTAAATACATATTTGCTAATTATATTGATTCTTTCTTTTCAATAATATCTTTCACCTATTTGTTGTGTTTTTACAGGTAAAAGGAGTAAAAATTGCAAAATTATACAAGCTTGTTAATGCAATTCCACATGGATGCAGAGAAATACAAGTTCAAGAAGCATGGCACCAACTGGCACCACTATGGTGCCAACCGACGCCAAATTAAAACAATGCAAACAAAGTTCTATGTTGCATCGTGTTGCATAGGCCAAAGTCCAGAGAAATGGCGCCACTTAGCGCCAAACTCATGCTAAGTGGCGCCAAAGTCAAGCATCATGGCGCCCTTTGGCGCCCAGAGTGAAGGAATCGTGGCGCCAAAGGGCGCCGAAAAGTCAACAAGGAATGGTGCCAAATGGCGCCAAGGAAGAACAAAGATTACGCCACTTTGCGAGGAAATTGTTCCGGCTTTTCGTTTGGGCACAAGCGCGGCGCGAACTAGCGCCACACCGGCGCCAACTGGCGCCGGTTTGCGGGAAATTTTACCGTGTTGCGCGAAGGGTATTTTTGGAAGAAAGAAAAAAGGCTTATAAATAGGATCCTTATGACAGAATTAGGGATCAAGACCTATTCTACTGAGAGAGACAACGGTGGTGCTCCGAGAGGATTCTGCAGATCAAGTTCTTCTTTCTCTTCTCTTTAATTTTATGCTTTTATTGAATATTGGA